TTAAGCCAATGACTGGGGAAAATGCTGAAAGTTTAAACTTGGTTTATGAGTGCAATGGATTATCTTTATGATAAATGGATAGTAATCTTATTATTTTGTTATAGTATGGCAGAAGAAGTCATCATTATGGAACATTTAATTTAGGTGGGTTTATGCTACGGAAATTAGTGTACAGATGACTAACATTTCTTTATTTCAGACCATGAGAAAATTTGTCCAGTATTACATGAAAACTGGAAAAGTGAATGTGGACAAGACAAAATCTCTTTTAGAATGAGGAATATAAAGAGGATGTCCTGTAGATAAATCGATAAAATATGATAATTCTGAGGGAGATAACACCCAAACATATTTTCTGGATAAATTGCTAAGAATTAAATATAGTTACCTTTTTTCTAGTGTTGTTCTGGATAGATTAGATAAGACATATTATGCTATGTCTGTACATGCCAGTACTGAATTTAGAAGCTGCTACTAAAATGCTGGCATTGTACCTTGAAGTTGACTTAAGAGCACATTGGGCCACCAAGTGAAAATTTGCGATACTGAGGTTAACTGCATCTGACAAGCTGTTTCTGTCAACTAGTGTTAATGCGTAAAGTGATACGGAGAGTGAAAGAAGATCTCAACTTTTAATGGAACTTGTAGTTAGGACCCTTTTGTTCTGGGTGAGGGAGAGTGCTATAGACCATAGATAGACCACAGCAGGTTTCACAGGTATGCCTTGGGAAAAAAGTGAGTATCTTCTGTATCATATTTGTTAAACTCTGTAGAACTACAAGGTCTGGCTAATGAATTGCTTGACTAAAACTGTCTAAAGTACTGATGGCCTGTGCTATTTAGAACAGACACTGTTACTGCTGTGTTGTTAAAGCAGTTATGTTTCTGAGGGGTAGCTGGCCTGCAGACTGAATCGTATGGACTCATTCATGAATATTACTTTAATAGTTTTTTCCTATTTTTAAATTGCTGTTAGAGCACCAACACACAAATATCTTTTTAATGAATATCTTTTTAATGAAATGACTAATTTAGAGTATCTTCATTAAGTGTAATCTCATTTACTCATAAATGCATTAGTTGTAATAGTAAATTCCTTGGGAAAGAATTGGAAAGCTTACTGAAGGGTTTATACATTCATATCAGAGCTGCCTTGAGTATCATTTGGTTTGTGGAAAGAGTTGCTTCTCAGTGGTCTTTCACATTGATTCACGCTTACGTAAAAATGGCACCACCTTAGGCATGAAATTGTGTTTGTTGAGAATAGTGCTCAGATTGTATTCTGCTTAAACTTCCTTTGGTTTGTGTAGAATTCTAGGGACAAATCAGCTGTGGAATAGAAAGCTGAAGAATTTTGCATCTCAGTCACCTTCAGTAAAAAACAGATTCTGCCTTCCAGAGGCTACCAGTCCTTTAAGCAAGAAGGGATTCACTGGTTTATCTGCAAAAGAATTGGTCTGTAGAAGTCTTGACTGACGTTAATATGCCAGAGAGAAAAAAAATTTCAGCTTTCAAACTAGGTAGTTTGTGCAAATGACAAATTAAAAAAGCACATCTTCTAGTACATTTGTCAAACTGTGGACTTCTGTGCACACTATGGCATTTTTGTCAGCTGTCCTATTTTTTTCTTACTGATTTTTAAGGGCAGAACTACTGTTTTTGGTTTATGCACTTGTACTTACTGTTTGGAATAAAATTAAGTTTTGGGGAAGGGTAACCTGTAATATTTTTTAAACCAAATGGGGAGCTGGCTTGAAGAAGTCTTAAGATACTGTTTTTCTCTGGAATTCCTTTCTCTTGTAGCTTTTTTAATCCTTAATAAGTTTCTGCAGAAATACCTTTCAAAGAATATTATGCATTGACTGTGTATTGTGATTGTGAATGTTGTGTATTGATTCATCAGTGCCCGCATTTTTCTTTTGAGTTGCTTGAAAATTAATTAGTGGTTTGAATGAAGGTCTAGATTCTGGTCAGAATACCATTATTAAAAAAAATACTTCTAGTTCTTAACCAGGCTTTTATGGGTTTTATTTTTAGTTAATCTTTATTCCACTCTTAATGCTCCTGTTTCAGTAGGCTTAGCATCTTTCAAGAAAACAAGCTGAGGTTCATTTTTCTAAGTTGTTACACAGCTTCCTCTGGTGCTTCTGGAACATCTGTTTGTTTATTGCTGCTTACCAAGTCAGTCTTAATCCATGGTGTTGCTACTTTCCAGTAGGAAAAGAGACAGGAAATTATTTTTATTTATCTAAATATTTATTTGTTTTTGCTAACAATTGCATGTTCCAGGGCTATAGTATCTGTAACTTCTTCCAAATGTAGAGGAAAAAGATGTCTTACACTGCCCACTTAAAGATTAAGTGAAGCTGGAACGATATATTACTACAGGCAGTAGTTTAAGAAAATGCTTAAAGTCATACTTTACTTAAGGGCATTAACGATCACACAACTGTAAGGAGACCTGTATGCGTAAAGCCACGTGTGTTCAACTATGCTACTGTGAAAAATTCCTGTTGTTCTTTTCTGAAGATACTTACACCAGACTTCATTTAGACAACTATGAGTTTGCTTTTGTTTAAGAACTGCTTCTTTAATATACATCTTGTGCAACGTAGTGTTTTGTTAGCTCAATCCTGTAATCACGAGTTGTGTTTGTGAGTGTCTCTCCATAGATCCATAGAACTCTCCATAGATCCTTTATTATAAACACTGTAAACAATGCTTATCAATGTGAACTTTATGGTGTTTATACTAGCTTCTAAAACCATTTAGATGGAATGGGAGGGAAAAGGGAAAAGGAAAAACATAACCATTTTCAAAGACCTGTCAAGAAATCTCAAAATGAAGTAACAGGCAAATTAGAAACCTAAAACGACTAAGGAGACCATGAAAATAGCTGATTGAACCCTGATAGCACTAACATAATCAGCAGGTCTCCAGGAAACCCATTAACACTTTATAATAGTCTCCTTCATGAAGATGAAATGAATTTTGAAGATGATACACCAAGTAAACATTATGTATACAAAATTTGGTGCAAAACAAGCTTTCTCCCTGCAATCTTGCAAGCAGAATAAACTGTGAAAGAACATTAATAGTGAAAAGTGTAATCCTGAAATTCAGCCACTTAAAAAAAAATTGAAGAAGCTTGATGAAAAGTACTGGAAGTACTTGCATTAGATACTTCCTTCCCACCCACCCCCCGCCCCCCCAGACACTTAACAGTTTAGAATAGATACGTGAATATACTTGAGATATGTCAATCCTATAAATACAAATGCAATCCATGATTTGAATGGGACTTGGTTTTTTTCAATGTTGCACAAGAAGTTTTCAACCTGAAAGCTTTGCTAAGACAAAGGTACTGCTAAATTGAAAAGCATATTTTTCAAAAAGAAATAGTGTTGATTGCATAGCATTTTCACTGACTTTTATGTCAATGACTGTTGTTTTTTAATATTTAAAGTCCTCTAGAATAAAACTACAGTTGGCCAGTCATTAAGTATGTCATTCCTCTACATTTAAGAGTAGAGCATTGTCCTGTATTGTGAAAATGGTGTATTAATCTAAATTTGTAATTTGCATCTCGGCGTCTCACAAGGCTACTACCAAGAAGCTGCAGCAAAATGATTGACCTAGTACTGTTTGTTGCAAAGTTAAATAAAATAATTGATTTGAATAGCTGATGAAGCCCCCATTCCTAAGCTTTCATTACTTGAGGTAGTAATAAATTGGGTCCTGCTCAAATAATTTGTTTAGCTTTGGAAAGAATTGGAAAGAATATTATTAGTATTGGAGAGGCTATTACCATAGCAAATGACTGTAAATTAACTAAAGCGCCCAGAATAATGGAGAGGGAGATCTTCGGAAGGTGCTTTCAGGACTGTTCTTTGCAGTGAATTTGTACTTTTGTGGTTTCTTACAATTAAAATAAAAATTATAATCGTCAAAAATATCAGTAAGATACTTTTCATGATTACTAGTAGAAGCAGTGCAGGTAATTAAATCTGTAGAAAGGAAATAATTCTGTTTTCTGCAGTCTCTTTGAAGTGTCTGTGAAAAGTAACAGAAAAAGCAAGTTTACTACAAAATTAATTTTATATCTTAAGGGTCTGTTCTTCAGTTGCGAAAGTTTTAGAATCTTCAAATGTAGAAATTGTTACTGTCTTCAGCAGTTCTTTCTTGGTGAAAATCTAATTTTTCAGAGAGACCAAGAGGAACAAAGTATTTTTATAACTGATGATTTGTACTTTCTAAGATTTAAACATGCATTGAACTATAATAACTATAATTGCCTGTATTAACTATATAATTAAATTTTTTAACACATTCTCAAAGTTTATTTGGGACTACACATACAAGTTTTATGTTCCTTTTGGAGGCTGCAGTTTGTTGGAAGTATTGTTGGAGAAAGGTGTGAACATTAACAAAAGCAAGATGGAGATTTCCTCAGAAGCAAAGAGAAGGTTGTTACTGAATTTGTGTGCGTGTGTGTTTGCATAATTAAACTTCAAAATTCAAAATTAATCATAAATAATGTTTTTAATCTCTTCAGTAGGTTCCTGTGTATTGCTGCCTCTTCGTCCATTAGAGTAGCCGTAGTTTGTCATCTTAGATTTAGAGATGTATATTCTTCTAATCTGACTATTTCTGTTTTACTGATGTTTAATTATTAAAAGATCATTATTTTACTGTATATTAGTTTTGGTCACACTCTTGATTAAAAACAAATTAAATGCTGAAATAGCATGTGGCTAAAGATTTTGATTAATTTTAACAGATGTTATCCTGCTATATTTTGTTTTTCTTATGGATTCAGTATTTGAGGGTTGTGTGGGAGTGATAGCCTCAGAATAAAAACCTTGGAATAATAAATATTTTTCAACAGGTATCCTAAGTTTTGTTACCATGTGTTCTTTTTCTTATGATTAATATATGTATAGACACACACACATATATATATGAAAAATCCAAAATATGCGTGTTGTTTGTTTTAACAGATTGGACAGCTTGCTTTTAAAGGCATGAAAAGGCTAAACCGCATCCAGTCTATAGTTTTCGAGACTGCCTACAACACAAATGAGAACATGCTAATCTGTGCCCCAACTGGAGCTGGGAAGACCAACATTGCCATGCTGACAGTCCTTCATGAAATTCGCCAGCATGTCCAGCATGGTGTTATCAAAAAGGATGAGTTTAAGGTAGGAGTTTAATGAACCAAGTAACAGCTTTTCAACTTGTAAGGTAAAACCCATTATATGTTATACATGGAATATGAAATCAGGACGTTTTCAAGGGTATTACACTTTTCCAAGTCAAAGATAAGGATTGTTTTGATTTACTTCATTATTGTTAAAGCTATTATTATTTGTGTTCTAAAAGTCTTACTATGTGAGTAAAAAGCTATGAAAATGCATTTAGCTTTGATGCAGAACCAATTTTCAAAGTGATGAGGCTGTATAAACAAAATCCATTCTCCTTTAAACAGCTGCACACTTATCCAACAAAGATAACTACTTTTCATATATCACTATTAAGATTTTTCACTGTAAGCGCCTGGCATCGTATTTCACAATAAATTGTGATTTGTAATGGTTGCCATGAAACAAACGACATTGTGGGGTTTGCTCATTTATCAAGCAAGTGTCCTTTTGGTGCAGATTGTGTATGTTGCTCCTATGAAGGCTTTGGCAGCTGAAATGACAAATTACTTCAGCAAGCGTCTGGAACCACTAGGCATTACTGTGAAAGAGTTGACTGGTGATATGCAACTGTCAAAAGGTGAAATTCTGCGAACACAGGTATGTTTAATATTTTAAAATATTGGTCTGTATGTGTATTCATACCTCTTCATAGGTAAACTGGTCTTTTCTTCAAACTCCTTGTAAAAGTATTGGTGAAGCAGCTGAAATGTTATTATTGAGTCTGTAATTACACTGGTTATGTTCCAAAATGTGACTTTCAAGTCAAAGTGATTAAAACACTAATATATCTGAAATATCTTGGCAATGGGTTCATTAAACTTTTTGGTTTCTCCCATTTAGACTTACTACTACAGTGCCCCATTTCCGTATAACCTTTGTATAAAATCTTACCTGATTTCCAGCTTGTGAACCTTAGTGAGTTGTGCCCCTACCCTTTCAGGATAATAAACCAAGTATTGTATGTGTGTGTTTGCAAGAACCTAACATTCATCATTTCAGATTTGGCATTCTTTGATAATAACCACCTTTGAAAAGTTTGTCTGGTCTGCAAATGGTAAATTCTAAATAAATTTGAAATGCTGTAACAACATTGTTACAAATGGGGTGTCACCCTCTATGTCAATGACCAGCTGGAGTGCATGGAGCTCTGCCTGGGGATGGATGAGGAGCCAAGTGAGAGCTTATGGGTCAGGACTAAAGGGAAGGCAGGGACAGGTGACATTACGGTGGGGGTCTGCTACAGGCCACCCGACCAGGAAGACCGAGCAGATGAGGCCCTCTATAGACAGGTAGGAGCAGCCTCACACTCACAAGCCCTGGTCCTCATGGGGGACTTCAACCACCCCAATATCTGTTGGAGGGACAACA